AAGAGCCCCCCCCCCCCCCCCCCACCCCGGGACTTCGAAAGTACTAACGAAAATGGTTAACCGAGCAGTGGACTCTGCACCAACAACAACTGGAACTTTCTCAAGTGGAGATTATCTACGAAGATCTCTCCCAAAGTTTGGTGAGATGGGGCAAGGAGAAGCACTGAAATCGCTGGTTCAGTTAGAGACGTATAAATCACCTTTTCCTGAATTGTATTTAATTAGTTTTACCGTAGGCAAATGAAGGAAAATTAAACTTCAAACAAACTGATTACATAGTTTTAGGTGCAAGTTACACCAGAGTTACAATGCCAGGAGCCATGCAATCGCAAAAGTAGTCCAGCATATATAAGATAGCCATTTAAATTAACCAGAGTTTTTCATCAAATGCCTTATAATTGTCATTCATCATAAAATTTTATAATGCATGTCAACCGTAATCAAATTATCATCTTTAATGACTTCATTCTGAAAAATTCTAGCAAGCAAAGCCTCAAATCTAATGCTAAAGAAATTTATCGTGAATCTCTCCCCACCCCCAAAAAAATTAAAAAATTGAACTTTCTTTACATGGTTTTTTCGTATGCATGCGAGTTTCAACGGTTTTGACTAAGATCATTAACATTTCTATTAATTTTGCATCTAATTAATAAACCTAAAACAACCATTAAAATTCCCTAAATCACACAATAAAATTCGAATAATTATTCTCCATAAACACGAAAACAAATTTCATTTCAACAACCAAGTAAAGCAAATAAAACCAATGAGCTTGAATTCAAGAAAGTAACAAAGATTTTCTTGAATCTCACCAAACAATCCCATAAGCCCCACGTCCCACAGGCCTGATTGGAACATATTTTCTGGGCACCTCAAAAAGGTACCCATAAACATCATACTGCACATATCTTCCACCATGAGTGGGCGCTCCTTTGATATTATGGCTCCCATGGCCATGATCCGCTGAACCAGAGCTTGATTCCACCGACATAATAGCCAAAATATTTAAAGAATAAATCTTTGTTTTTCTCCCCCTTAACAAACCAAGTAAACTAAAAAAATAATAAAAACAAAAATCAAGAACCCAATTTAAAAGCTTAATTTTTACTCAAGATTTAGTGAGTGTCGGTGTCTAGGAAAGAAAAATGAGAGGTTTTTGACATTTCTTTGTGATTTTTTTGTAATTTCTTCTGTAGTTAGAAAGTTGAGGGAGAGTGTGAACTTTTGAACTGAACTGACTTGAGATTACCCGTGACGTTAATCGACTTTTCTGTGGGAGGTTGGTGTCTAAGAATCTCCAACCATACACCTGGGTAAAGGTTGACTGTGTATGTATATACTTAGCCCCGGCCCAAATTTAAATTAGGATAATTGGCACAAAATGTCCCTAATTTTCATGTTGATTGTGAAAAATGTCTCTATCTTTTATTTTTTAGCATTTTTGTCCTAATTTGTGCAAAACATCATTTTCCCTATTTTTGAATGTAAAATGACCATTATACCCTCTTATTTAAAACAAAAAACCAAAAAAAAGAAAAGAAATATAAAGCATAAATTGTAATCATACTCCCAAAAAATTTGAAAAAATATAAATCAGTCCAATAAATTAAAAAAATTATCTCTCAAAATAAATGATTATCCAATCGTCCCAAGCATATTAAAAAATGATTATCAGAAGTTATAATTGAAATCTCACTCACAGTACATTACAGTTTCTTAGCCAAAATCAAAGCCAGAAAAAATTGCCATGCAAGATACAACTCCGTAATCATCCCTATTTGATGAACCTATAAATGACATGGGCCAATATTTATGTCCTCCAATTCGTGTAAAAAATAAAAAAAAAAAAAATCTAACACGAGATGGTCTAATATTGCGTTACATGAACAAAATTCTTAATCAATGCAAGTTCTTTTAGTCACTATACAGCAAAGACGTCGCCAATAGTACCATATTTGATCAATTAATATCCCATAAAATGAACAACCAATACCTGAGGAGAATCGGGGGTACTTTTAAGTTTGGCTTTATCAAACCAATCATTTTCCATTTTAACCAAAAAAATCTAACATTCACCACAATGGCCATTTCTTGTGTAAAAGACAAAAACGCCCTTAAATGAGTTATATAATTACAAAAATAGAAATATGGTAAAAAGACAAAAATATCCTTAAGTTACAAATAAAAATCCAAACACTTCTCAATTGAAATTTGAAAACGAAGTCAGTCTTTTCATCAGTTTACTCTAACACGATAAAAACTCTTTCATTTTTCATCCACTTCAACATCAAAATTTCATAAACTTATCAGTTATCAACCTCAACAGAAAAATTTCTTTAAATTTCAACACTTCAATTCGGTAAGTATCTTTTCCTAGTATTTAATTTTATTTTTATTGAAGTCGTATATTTTTTTAAAATGGTAGAAAAAATAATATTAGAGCCAAAGTTCAGGCCGGCACCGATCTGACGCCGGAACTCGTTCGATAACGGACGAACGGACGGTCCGGAGTAAACGGACTGTCCGGACCGTCCGTTTGCAGACTCCCCCGCCCTTCGATTCTGATAATTTTATTTCTGATAATTTGTTTTGATATTTTTAATTTGTAATGCAGATATGGCAAAAGCATGTGTCCCAATCTGTTGTTTCGGCGAATTTCAAAGGAAAGAAAATGGTCAATGGGAATGAAAATGGACGAGTGAAGGAGAAGGGG